TGTGTATGACCAAATCTTCATTTTCATTTGGGATTCAGATTTCGTTTCGGTTAAAGGAATCCACCACATAGCCGCTCATGGAAAGAACTCACGAGATGGCATTTCCATTGAAAACGAACGAATAACAAAAACGCATTCCCTCAACAACAACAAAAAAAAATACTACACATGTAATAAATGATTTGCCTGATGCCTGTGTATCTACCGTATTAAATGGCAAAAGAGCAGAATAGATCCGGTAACAACGAGTGCAGTCGAGATGAAAACGAATAAATTCGATGTAACATTGGAAAGAGTGAAAGAGAGAGTGAGAGAACGAATAAAAACGATATATATGTATAAAAATACCAAAAACTAAAAGCACACACGGATAAACTTGCAGTAAAGATGCAGACAATGAGCACTAATGAAAAATACCAGAGCACCTCATCCACCCAATATAAACACACATTAAACATCAAATGTGTCTTTTTCATTCCCAATGCCAGTTCCGCTCGATTCTATAACCTTTTTTTCTCTTTCCTTCTCTCTCTCTCTCTCTCTCTCTCTCTGTTGCTTACTAAACACCACGTTTCATTCTTCCTCTGTCCGATGCACATACCGCACTCTCTCGTTCGTTTATTCGGGCACAGGATAAGCGATAAATGCACACTCAACCACATGCACTTGAATGTTATACATTTTTCCTCTTACTCAACTATGTTTCTTTCAAAAATACACAAAATGGAAAACACTGAATGCCAACAACGAAACAAAACAAAAACCCCAACTAAAAAAAAATTGCACACGAAAAATCTACGTATAGTATGCGCATTACATATAATGAAAGAGCCATATAAATCCGATAGACGGTTTAAGCATTATCATTTGCCAAATGTATGTAATTGTTGGGAGCTATGTGTTTTGTGTATTTTTGTGCATGCCATGCAAGTATTATAGAAAACGGTGCAACGACAACGTCAAAATACCATGTTACACAAAATTCGGCATTTATACATTTTGAATCGCTAAACACACATAAAGTCACATCAGACATATATATGACCAAAAGCCAAAAAAGAGTGGTCAAAATATGCCATGTCAAAAATAAAAACGAAACGATCATGACAGAATAACTGTATGTACAGTGAGGAAGATGTGCGGATTTGTGTCCGTTCAAAAACTTCATTCAAGCACGCTCCAAATGACCATTCGGCACACACATACACAAAAAAAATCCGAACCAAACGACAAAAAAAAAGCCAAATTGATAATAATTATCAAGTCATTCAAGAGATAACTTCAAAGTCGGTATCAATTTTCTGTGCAATTCATTTAATTTCTCATTTTTTTTCTCGCTCGCTTGATATTCGCTATTGAATTGAACAAACGAACGAAAAATAAAAAACTCTTTTAATAAAGAAAAACAAATTGTTCCACACACGGTTAGAACATGTTTTATCGCAAATTGGTATGTATTAAAAACTTAGAACCGAAACAGAGTTACCTACAGAAAACGAAAAATTTTCACCGTCGTTCAAAACGTTCAACCATCCAAATACCATGGAATTATTTATTTAATGTTGTGGATGCAAGCGCAACAAAATTGAAAAAAAAAAATATGTCACCATATTTAATTTGTGTATTACTTCAGTGCAGTTGACTAGATAATTTTCGAATTTAATTGAAGCTGAGAAATCAAAAACAGAAAAAAAACACAAATAATAATCTGGTTTTGGTTAAGTAAGACGAGAGAGAAAAAACGATGTCGGAAATATCGAGTTGAGAAAAACCACTTCCCAGATAAACGCAAGTCTATCCAATGTTTGTATCGAATTGTATTGATCTGAAATTCGAAGCGCCTAAATGAATCAGCATCGCTCTCAGCTCTCAGATGCTGTCGCCTATTATATTTACATACAAATATATGCATAGCATACAACATGAACCATGTTTATTTATATGTTGTTTTTGTTTTTTTTTTTATCTCGATGCGGTCGTTTCACAGCTAATTTTTTAATTGATTCATCAACGTTGAAAGCAACAGAAAATTAATGCGCGAGTGAAGTTTTTGGTGTATTCATATGTGTGATATATCTATAGGGCGTGAATGATAAAAAAAATCCATATTTAGTTAATTAAATTTTCAAGTAATTGAAAGTAAATGTTCAACAGCAGTTTTTATTTGTCATCAAAGATGCATGCAAAGTATATTGTGATATGTTTGCATGTGTAACTGGTTGTGTTTCTAGTTCTGTTAGGCAGGAATGTTTCTCTCTCTCTATTTTCAATTGAACTCTGTTGCTGTTGAACATGTGGCACTTGAAATGCACACATGCATATGGTTGAAAGGAGACAGTGAAAATGTGTATGTACGATTCGTATCGTCTTCCTTTTATGTTTACAATTTGTTAAATCTACTTTGATTCGATATTAATTGGATTGCCCCGCCAGAATAATATAAACGTATACGAAATACCAAAATAAATAACCTTTAATTGGTTCTAATGAGAAAGCATGGTTTTTATTAAGATAACAACAATGTTTGTTTCTAATTTGGCGTTTGTAATTTGTGTCTCTCTGTTATTTTTTTTTCGTGGTTTACATATAATGGATTTGTTAGATTGACAATTCGTGGTGCGTGCTCAGTTATAATCATATTCACACTAACCTTGACCATTGTGCAGACATTTTCCACTCAATGCCTATCAAAGACTATCTGTTTTATTGTGCCGCCATAATTATATCCGAGTGTCGTTCTCGGCCAATATCAGCCCACAAATGCAGAATTAGAAACACACACGCACGCCAACTTTACTCCGGAATGGATGATGATTTTTCGTCACCAAAAACAACGCTCACATATCTTCAATCGGACTGATTCTCGGAATGGGTGATTGTTTTTCTGCGAAATTGTAAAGTGTTGCGCGAATTTTTCATTTTATACTGTTTGGAACAAAGCTGAAAGTAAAGACGAAATTGAGGGGAAAAAACATCCGTGACGTCGTTAACAAAAACAACCGATTTATACATATTCATTGGCGGCAATCTCTTTTTTTTTCTCTGGCTATTGTATCATTTCTTTTGAATTTGCTCCGCATATCTCATTCTCTCACTTGGTTCGGTCGTAAAAACATACAACTTGTATTTAATTAAAAGAAACCATATCATTTAATATTTGACCATCGAATTGAATAGTTGGTATTCAAATTTCGATATATGTCTGCATGTGGAGAGTGAGATACAAAGAGTGAGCATTCAGCTGCTGGGAATTTAGTAAATTAACACTTGCCACTTCTGCGAAGTTTGATCACGAAGAAAATCAAAAGACTACGATAAAAACAGACAGATTCGTTTTTATATCGATGACCGTGAGATGCTCATAGACTCACTGAGACCCGGTGACACATAAAAAAATATATTGATTCTAATGCGTCACTATAACCTTACAAAGAAATTAACGAAAAAGTGACCAAATACTTGTTTTTAAACATATTTTCGTTGAATTTAATCCCAATAGAAATTTTAATTAGTCAATGGAAAATATGCCCGATTATTCTTTGGATATTGTAAATTATTGCAGAATATCCTCGTTGCGAATATTAGTAGCAGTATACTTTTATCCATCCGAATGTACTGCGCATATTTACCACTTTATCCATTCCCCTCACAAATCGCATCAAATACTCACACATTTTGTTTCACTATTTTCGTTTCCAATTTTGAACAATCATTTTATTGGAATTTTGAAGTGATTGAGAGTCCCTTTCAAAAACGAAAAAAAAAACTAAGCGAAAAAAGATTTGATATAAAACCGAGCGAAACGTCGATATTGAGAGATTCCCATGCTTTGGTGTCACATATATATTATGCATATATGAAATCTTTTATGCTTGACACTTTTACGTAGCATTTTCCAATCATTACTTATTTACAATTTGAATGCATTTGGAATTCATATTTTCGCTACTATTGCTTTGTTAATCTGTCGTTTAATCTTATTTAAGCAATATATCAAAAATTCCATTGCTCAAATGAAAATTTCTTGAATATAACTAACTGCAATTATTTTTTTTCTTCGGAATTTACATGTTTTATGTAAAAAAAAAAGTTATTTCACAAAAATCTTGATTATTAGTTTTGATATGATGTTAATAAACAATCAAAAAAATGCAACTATAATTTATTTTGTAATCATTTCGAGTCGATTAGTATTTTCCACCATTAAGCATTCCCCTTTTTCGATTTTAAATCGTTCATGAAAGTGCAAGCCCATTGCTCCTATGGTGCCAATAACCGTGTCCCTGTCTTCAGTAGATGTTTTATAAATCGATTTTAACATTTTGAATATCTTTTAAAATGTCCGTACAAATCAAAACAATTAATATATGAATGCTCAATACATCATTTCAATGTGTATGCATTTTAATACATATTATTAGAATTTAATTATTTCAACGAATATTCTATTTTAATGAGTGCACTTGAAATTAAAAAAAAAAAAAACTAAAAATAACCAACACTTTTTCGGTGTGATTTCGTAAAACCATGCAAAAATGCTGAATAATAATTTGTGGTTTTTCAAATAAAAAGTGTTATTCATCATTAAAAACAATAACCGAATGCGATGAGGAAAATAGGAAAAGTCATGTGCACAATGTTGAAGGAGGCATCGTATTCAGAGTGCGGCATACGTTCGTTATACTCACCATAATTGTGTTGGAGGGGCAAACAAGACGTTCGGCACTGTGTGTTGAGAATATATATTGTTGTTGTTGTTGCTGCTGCTGCTGGATGTGCGTACGGCATTGGTTTGTTTCTTTCTTTCGATATCTGCGCATCGGCTTCCACAAGCATGTTGCCTCTATGTTATTGTTGTTGGTGCCTCTTTTACAACTCCAAACGTTGGCACCGGTATGGATGAGAGAGATATCAACGGCATGTATATACACAAAAATACTCGAATGTCGTAGGAACGTGAAACATTTTCTTACTACGCTTGTTTAGTATGTGCGCGAACTTCTAATACAACGGTGGCTTTGTCGCTACTCTTCGTATTTACCATAGAAAACGAACAGACGAACAAAATGCGATCGCTTCTTCCATTTGAGCGTTTGTAAGTTAGTTTGTTTGTAAGAACAAAAAAAAATTTTACCGCGCGGAAGTGAAGAAAGAGAAAAACAAAGAACGAAAACACATGAGAGACTTTTTGTGGAAAAGTTATTGCATTTTTCTTCTATTCCAAGTATTTCATAAAGTTGACATTAAAAAAGAAAACCTATACATTAATTTTGATGTTGCAATAAAAAAATTATTTGAATATTTGAGAATGACATAAATGAGCTGAATAAAAATAACAACAGCAACAACAAAAAAATTATACCGGAGCGATTTGATTTGGAGTTTTGTGTGCAAGCCGGAACAGAACGGCTCTTCGCATTCAAATTGTTTTGAATACAGTTTATGTGATTGTATTTTTGCCTGCCAGTGACGATCGCATAAATTATCAAAAAATATACACACAAAAGCGAAAAAGATTCTTCACCCAAAAATTTATTTGTCATCAACATTTGAATTAATTAAATGGACGAACAAAATTTGTGATTTTGTGGTTTTCATTTCATCCAACCAAATTCGCGCATACCGACCATTATCAATTTTTTTGGTTTTGTTTTCGTTGTTTGGTCGTTATTATTTCTGTGCGCCACCGTTAAAATATCACAGTGAACGTGATTACAGTTTTTGGCAATTAAATTCGCTTTGAGCCGAAATTTATGAGGATTTTCCCAGAGTGTCTGTGTACCGAACACTTGAAATTTGTGTGTGCTTTTTGGATGCTCCCTCCGGATGCATTTTAAACACTACGTGTGTGCATAATGATGAAAGTAGTGCGAAACAAAAAATAATAATATAAATACGGTTTTAAGCACACACATACATTGATGAAACTTGCTTTAACCGATTATGGAAAATGAATTTTAACACTGGCTTCTTTTGTGTTTTTCTCACCGTTTGAGCTTCGATCGCTGCGAAAATAAATGCTGAAATTATTAAACAACAACAAAAATTAAACAAATTCCAAATTAAGCAAAATAGCATTTATGTGAAATATCCGTTTGACAAATGATAACACAGCCAACACCATTAAGTGCTTGTTTACGACTGTGATTTTTTTTTTTGATTTTTGTTCTGCTAATGAATGTGAAAAGAGACGAGAGAAGAAAAAAAACTTCGGACATCTACAATATGAATGACTTTCAAGTGTAAATCAAAGTAAATACCGAACGAATCAAAATCACAACCACAAACAAATATTCGTGTTGATTAACAGAGAGTGGAATGAAAGAAAAAAATCGAACGGCAATTTTTTTTCTATTATCGCTAAATTTTTTCGATCGAATTCCAAATTAATTGTGAATTAATGCAAATTTCATAAGTTTTCATTTCACCAACATTGGCTCCACAGTGTGCTTCTTTAAAAAAAAAATTCATTTGTTTCCGATACGACATTGAGTGAAACCGAAATAGAAATAAAAATTCAAGCGAGAAATAAAAAGATGACCAAAAATCAAGTTGAAGCAGATACAAATGTTTAAGAACGAAAAGAACGCGCAAAATTACGATAAAAATCGAATTGTGAATTTATAGTTATGTTAAAGATCCATTTAATATCATTTTCGATGAACAAGAGAGCAAAGTATTCAGCTTCTTTGTCACGTTTTTGACATATTCTCAGAATATTTACATTTTTTCATTTTGTTTGCCATAAATTAAAAACCGGAAAATTATTAAAGCAACACTGCGATCAGACCAACAAAAGTAAAAAAAATTATAAACACCATAAAATATGAATATGAAAAATTGAGTTTGAGCAAGAAAGAAAGAAAAAACGATTGCAACTGTTATATCGAGAAGCCAGTGATCGAGCGCTCAATCAATTGATTTTAGTGTAATTGATTTCAAGTGGGAAATATTGTGAAAACAAAAATAAATGTCGAGTGTTAACGCTTTTGATGTTATGAGAAAAAAAATATATATGTTGATAAAACACGTCATTGAGTGAAAATATTGAAAAAGAATAAAAAAAAAGAAATATTCTTGACTGGAACAAGTGACATATAAAACATAAACAAGCCAATAATTGATACTCGATCCACTTTTTTTGGGGTGATTCAGAACGACATATTGCAGCAGATTGGTTGAGTTTATTTTGTGACAACATACACTGCCTGTGAAATCAAAACGCAACTTGAAAGGATGCGAAGTACATGTATGTTATTCTAACAAAATATACGCTAGTTAATAAGTCAGGGAGAATTTCGTTCAATGTGTATATGGTAACACATGGATACTTGTGTTATTACGAGAGAAAAAAAGACGAAATTTCTTTGCTTTTCAAAAAATTGAAACGAATAATAAAAAGTGGGAAAGAAAAGCGGTTAGAATCGCATTTGAAATTATTTTTAGAATCAAAATCACTGGAAATTTAAAACATTCCGAAATCAATATGCTTCACATCTTTTTCACCGAATAAGAATGAAAACTATTTTTTTTTTCTGTTTATCTTTGTGATTGAATTAAATGTTAAAATGATAATGGTAATTAACTGTCGAATTGAGTCTGGTTTTTTGGCTTAAAATCTGAAATGGTTATGATTGAATTATGATCCATGCATTTGCCGCCTATACATTTATTTTCGTTATTTCTTTGGGTCTCAAGCCGAAAGACTTTTTACCAGCGAACGGCTTATGTTCAATAAAAGTGATTATTATTTTTTTTTTTTTAAAGTAGAACATTGAGGTGCGAGCTCAAAATTCATAGACAGAAGGCACTAAGACTGAAAGACAATGAGTTATTTTATGACACATTTGATGTAATAATGGTTTTATGTTCGCCGTCGGTATCTTTTCAACTTGGTTACAGCACTGATATGATTTGTATGAAATTAAACATCGGAATTATGAATACATGTTTGTTGATTGGCCGATGTGGCAGCAACAAAATCCAAATGTTGCGTGTTACGACAACTATTTATATGACACCATCGATGATAGTGTCTCTTTAGGAAGATGGAATTTTTTTCACCGCCTAAATCGTTCATTTTTACTGTTTGACATTAGTTACTTATGTGCATATCAAAGTGATAATTGATATTGATGTGTGTTAGTCGTATTTGAGCGCCCATAAAATAAATCGAACGAAAAAAAAGAGCAAGAGAATTAAAGAAAAATAGTCGAAACAGGAATCCGAAATCAATTCACTATTTGAATAGATTTATGCAATTGAAATGTTTGAGTGTGTATCTGTGCATTATTACATCTATTTGGACAGGGCATATAACTTGTCCGTAGATTTTTTTTCCCCTTGTAATGATAAACAGACAAGTTTGTAACACAGTCGAAAAAGAAACGATGAAAAAAAAAACAATACAAGATAGAAAAAATAGATGGAACGTACATTGGTACAAAGCAATTTGATTCGGTTATTTAATATTTCAGATACACAACTCGAAGTTGAATCAAAATCTGAAATTGATTCCATTATGGGGCACAATAATCCGAATAGAACAAATATAGCCCGACTATACTTGGGCAATGCTGAATGCTGATACTAGTGACATACAATGATATGTCTATAATGTATGACACACTCGAAAAATGTGTCGTTCAATGCTACGCATCATCAAGCGAATCATATGTATTTGAAATTATCGCACGCACACACACTTCTTTAAAATATTCCACGCCGAAATTTCGGTGTACTCAGTTTCGATTTGGGAATGTTTGAGAAATAAAAAAATGCCTGATTTCGAATATTGAATGTATACATGCAACTGACACTCAATTGCATTTGAATGCTCATGGTGCGTATTCCATCAACCACCAATAAAATAACCACCACCACCAAATCGCATTCTATACAGATTTATATAAGTCGACAGCGAGTGATACAGATTTATGCATAATAAATTCTGCAATTGTCTGTTCATTCCATTCAATAGATTTTTGTGGGTTTAAATGTGTATGACAAATACGGCAGGCGATGAAAAATCACACGCGCACATTATTTATGTATGGAATCGTTTAAACGATACGTTTGCCGTGGCTTCCGAATATCATTCATCAACCAGAATTTACAATCTTTCCCTCTCTGTTTCCTATCCAACCTCTCTCTCTCTCGCTTTCCGTCTCATCATTCGAATATTTATCGAGAACGAGTGTATTGGACTACATCATGTATGGTAAAACTATAAATTTTATCAGTTTCCACATCAAATGATCTCACTCTGTCGCACACACACAAATTTAGCGACCTTTTTCCCTGCCTTCCATTTCAGTTTTCAATTGAGACACACAAAGGGGGATGAGAATAGCTAGAGACGTGCATTCCGTGCCGTATCACAAGAGTGGATCAGATGTCAGTATAGATGACTAAATGGCAACGACACAATGACAACCGAAACAACAACAATCACTTTGTTGCCATCTCTTTCTCTCTCTCTCTCTCTCTCTCTCTCTCTCACGCACACACACATCTTTATTTAGCTCTCATTCGGTTCTTGGTACATGGGTTCCACAAGTGCATAGAAGGGCGTCAGAGTTTGTGGTATGTCGATACCATATGATTTATGTATTTTCGGGTCAATAAGATATCTAATTGAATTGATACATATATAAAAACACAAACAAAAACCAATCGAATTTCATTCAATCGTGCTATTAATAATTTCCCCCGACAAATTGACCAGTTTTCTACCAATTGAAATGCATCAATTATTTATTTGTTTATATTGAATTTTAATCGTATACAGATGTATATAGATTGGGTGAATGAGATAAAAATTCCATAGAATTTTTTTGCTCATCCATAAAATGAATTTAAACACTCTCGGCGTATTTTTCTTTGATTGATTGACAAAATGATGGACAAAAGGAACAAAAAAAAAATTAGATTGCATTCAAATTGTGCTGGCGAATAATAATTGTACAATAGTGTCAATCATTGATTTTTATCCAAAACGAAAAACCCGTCCGAGACAGAAAATTTCATTAACCAATGCTCTCTCTCGCAAGTTATGCCATGCCTTGCACTTGAATATACAAAATATTTTGCATGCACTTCAATTTTATTTCATTTGATTTGATTCGTTTTCATTCCAATTCTTCCTGATTGTTTTTTTTTCTATCCCGCTGCCTCTCTCACTCTTGGTTCGTTCCTTCTCTATCTCTTCGTGTGCTTTTTTTTTATTCATTTCGTTTTTTTTATTGCAATTTATTTCTCGTCGGTTGGTTTTACGTATTTCGCTTTCATTGACTTTTTCTTGATGGGACATAGACAGTTTTTATGGTTTATTTGTCCGATTTTCCTCTTTTTCACGATTGACGGCGCGATGAAACCTGTCATGTCACGACATTTGAAGCGCTGGCGAATACAAATTGACCCTTTTGTATTATTCTTTTAACATATTTATTTTTATTCGTTTCCTTTACGGTTGCTGTTGCTGTTCCATTGCTGTTGATGTTATTTTTGTGCTGTTTTTTGCTATTGCCATGTTTTATGTGGTGTTTGGATTGTGTTTTTGTTTTACTTCCGAAAATCATATCATCTTAACATCTCTCGGATAATTTGAAAACCCAATTTTCGATATATATATTTGTTTCTCGATCAAACGGTCTTACTCTTACTCACAAACTTTCTTTCAATGGCATGGCATGTGCTGTCATACTCTCAGTTGAAGAAAAAAAAAATATGTCCAGAATCATATTTCTAACGTATGCAGTTGCGAAGCAATGGGAAAAATTTTGATTGACTGAGAGAAAGAAGCAACAAAAATAAAGGCTAATAAATATACACAATCACACATCAACGGTTTGGGTTCGCAATGAAATGTTTCGTGATCGATTTACAAAAATATTAAATGAAATTTACCTATTCTCTGACCAAGCGCTCCATTTCGAACAAACAAAGATGAAGAATCAAGAAAAGAAAACGAACGAACGAAAAAAATAAAAAAATATTAAACGTCCCCGGATCGATCCAATTCGTGCTGTTAAATAGTTGACTTGATTTTTTCGAGTGGAATCATTCGAAATATATGGTACGGACTACGGAGAAAAGCAAACACAAAATCAGTGTTATTAGTTTTCGATACCTTTTAAACTTTGGTTTGATTTCGATTATGCCATTCCATCAGTGTGCGTGTGTTTATATATGACTGCATGATTGTATGAATATGTTTATCCAATGATGTTTGGTGTTTGTTTTTCTTTTCGATTGAAAGGAAACCGAATGATAAGCCAGAGGTAAAATCAATGACGGTATTGTACATAATATTTGTTTTGTTTTTTTTTTTTTTGTTGTTTCGTTTCGTTTTGGGGTGTTCGTTTTATTGGTGCGCGCGGTGCGGTGTTTTTAAATGCGTTCATCGTGCTTGTTTCCTTTTTCAAATCATATTAACCTTTAGTATTGTTGACAGTTTGACAGTGAAAATGTAGTTATCGTTGTGTGATATTTATATTTTGTTGAAAACGGCAAATGGAAAAAATTTCGACTTAAATGAATCGGAGAAAAATGGAATGCGGGTGTCAAATAAACATATTGAGAAAATGCCGCTATTGTGTCTTGAATATCGATTTAACATATGTATTGGCAACACTTTCTTTTCTGTTCTGCCGATTTTGAGAATGTCGGTGTGGATAGAAGCAAACAGTCTTGTTGAATTTGTCCACTTATAGGCTTCGTCTAAATCTGTATATGCGTTGGTCATATATATTTTTTTTTCATCTGCTGTTCGTCTAGTCCTTTTTTGTCGTCAAATATACTTGGTTATTTTTTTCCTTCTCGCTTGGTTTTGTTTTTCTACGTTCTGTTGTTGTTCACATTGTTTTTTTTTTTCTTCTTCTTCTTTTTCGGGCCATTAAATAAGTCGAGTGGAAAAATTGTGATTTCGCTTTTATTCCCATATTTTTGTTAGTCTCTTTTGCTATCCCTTTAGTTTCGGTCGAACGAATGGGCGAAGAGTTTGCATATGTTTTTACGATTTTCGTAAATGAAGTGGATGTTGTGTTACACTATATCCGTTTTCTAGGATGTTACACCATATATACATATTGTACGATGTATAATGCAAAAAAAAACAACAAAGCACATGTAGGCGATATGGCTGGCAAATGTAAGTGAGAAGTGAAAAGTGTGTATGCTGTGCCGGACGACAATTTGAGCAAAGTGAATGAACACACCAGAGAGAACAAAAAAAAATATGAATATTAT